GACAATTCCTATTGGCTTTTGAAAGCCAATAGAATTAGACTCTATTCACGAGAGTCTATTCTATTGGCTTTCAAAAGCCAATAGAATAAAAGGGAGTAGCACAGCTAAGGAAAAGGGGAAAGAAAATGGCGGACTGCATTGTTTGGCAACCCCCGTGAAATGGTCATTCGACCCCAAATGGGGTCCCGACGCACAGGTTGAGAACCACTGGTCTACATTATCTCTTTCTCCTCCTTTTTCTCCCCCTTTCTTTTTTTACTTTTCTTTAAGCATCTTTTCCTTCCAAAGCATTCTCAGCCTGGCTCTCTCCAGCTTCTTTCTTAAGGCTCCTAGTTTTGCTGCATTAACCCCCCCCCCCTCCATGGCTCTTCTGTTCCGGCACGTGGAAGCCTTTCCTTCAGGGCCCCCCTCCTGACCTATTTGTGCTGGGAAGAATCCAATCCCCAGTTGAACAGCTGCTCCCAGGGATGAACGTGACTTTTCAAGATCTTTGCCGGCTGCCCTCCCTAATTTTGATGCAAATCTCCTTTGGCATTTTGAAAAGAGGGATTAGCAGAAAGGAGGGGAGGGGGTCCCCACAGGGTGGGAAGGCTCCTCTCAGCGTGCCCACTATTCCCTAAGCAGCAAGTTTTGCTTTCTCTTATTGTTTACTGGCTGAATGCTTTACTTGGGGGGTGGGGGTGGGGGGGTTGGCTTTTGAAAGCTTTCATTGTTGTGACCTGCTGCCAGAAGCAAGCCAGCCTTTTGAATTCTTTTTGAATTCTTTGTGCACGGATGTGTTTTCCCTTTTTTTGGGTGGTGGTGGTGGGGAGGTTAGAATGTCCCTAGGAATCTGGCTAATAACTTAATAGCTTCTCTACTCCTACTGCAAATGCTTTGTACGGCACAGAGTGGACAGATGGAGGCAAAAAAAAAAAAAAAAAAAGGCAGATTTCTCTGTAGGCTGCCCCATTAGCTCTGGCTTTTCAAAATCAGGTGTTTTCCCCCAGCTTGCCTTTCCTTTGGTTTCTTTTATGCTTGGAAAAGCTTTCCTTCTCCTTTCACCTCGCCGGCTGGTTACCAAAAGAAAAAGGATGGCATAATGGCTGGGGGGGTGGTGGCATTCAGGCTCTTTATGGGCACAGGGGTGTGCAGTTTGCCAAGATTGTGTTCCCAGCAGCTGGCCTGCACAAATGAGGCTTGCCATTTGGAGATTGTCTCTGCTTAATTGGGGAGCGGCAGCTATGCTAGGGAATAGGGGGTACATGTGGATCCCTGAAAGTGCTTAGAAAGAGGTTAGATACAACCCAGGTACGTACAGCTGAAAAAGCTTGGAAAGGGTCCGGGACAAGTAGTCCTCGACTTATACCCATTGGTTTAGCCCAGGGGTAGGCAAGCTTGGCTCTTTTATGACTTGTGGACTTCAACTTCCAGAATTCCTGAGTCAGCATGGCTCAGCTTGGAAACCTCTCCCTTTCCCCTCAGCATGGCTGGCTCAGGAATTCTGGGAGTTGAAGTCCACGAGTCATAAAGCAGCCTAGGCCTAGACCAGAGGTAGGCAACCTTGGCTCTTTTATGACTCGTGGACTTCAACTCCCAGAATTCCTGAGCCAGCTATGCTGAGGGGAAAGGAAGAAGTTTCTAAGCTGAGCCATGCTGGCTCAGGAATTCTGGGAGTTGATGTCCACGAGTCATAAAAGAGCCAAGGTTGCCTACCCCTGGTTTAGCCACTGTTCGAATTACAAAAGCCCTGAAAAAAAATGGGATTTGTAACCAGTCCTCATACTTACGATCATTGCAGCATCAGCACAGTGATCAAAATTCAGCTACTTGGCAACTGGCGTGTATTTCCAATGGTTTGAGCTTCGATTAAATGCCTATATATGCAGTGGTGGGATTCAAATAGGTGAACAACCGGTTCTCTGTGTGGATGCCACTTCCGGAAGTCCATTCTGGGCCTGGGCCACAAAAAAATAGCTACCGGTTCTGCCGAAGTGGTGCGAACCGGCTGAATCCCACCACTGTATATATGGCATTTTAACCAATTAGCCTTAAGGCGAGTGAGGAACCTGCAAGTGAAATGTTTTTAAAAAGATTCTCGTGGATTGCTGACTCATTCTTTCTGCTGCAGGGTTTGTGACAGGGCCATGTAAGATGAGTGGAAGGTCATGAGTTGTGCACAGTCTTTGAGAGTGTGCAAGCTTGCATGTAGATTTGGAGAGAAAATCAGTGATTGGTGGTAGGCTAGCAAGGGAAATGGGAGTTGACATTTAACACACCTGGGGGGGGTATCAGATTGGGAAAATCTAGATTAAATAGGACTTGCAACCAGTCTAGGGAAAAATATTCAGATGGACAACGATGTAGCCCAGGTGTAGAAAGAATGTCGTAAAGGGGATTGGAAAGGCAGAACTTTGGGGAATGGCAATGAATTTTAGACTTTATTTGACCGGTTGCTATCATGCCCTCTTTTCCTCTAAAATGATTTGTGCCCCTGATTTTGCCAGTTGTATGTGCCTGTAGGAGAAGGAGTGGCAGAGATGGGGGCGGAGTCAAAAGAGGACTCAGCCTGGAATCTCTACATAGCCACAAATGGACTAAATCCAACCTCTCTTGAATTCCATTGACTCTAATCTAGTACCGAAATAGTGCTAATCCTTAGTTGAGTAAATTTCTGTGCATAGGCCTGAGCAATAAACTTCTCATGTCGTCCTGTCTTCAGCATCTGACGGTGCTGGTCTGGTCACGTTGGGCCTTAACCTACGACTGTAGTGATTTAACATCAAAATTCAAATTCCAATGTGACCACCTGTATGGTTGCAAAAGCACTCTGTACAGTAGTCATGACCGCAGGGGTGTCAAACTGCCAGCCTGTGGGCCAGATGCATCATAGCAAAACCGCTCCCACCCCATTGCCGGCAATGGCAAAAAAGTCGTGACACGTCACGACACGTGACATTGCAAGTTTGAGACCCCTGCCCTAGGAGTTGACTTTGACTTGAGAGAGTCTACATTTATTAACCAAGTTCTATCCAGGCCATGTCATTGGTTGCTTTGAACTGCAGTATTTTGTTAGGAACAATAATATCATTTTTTATTTTGGTGAGAGATGGGAGGAAATTTCAAAAATTTATGGAAAGAGAATATTTGTTTGTTCTAAGATCCTAATGCAGTACAAGAGCTCTATTATGCTGTCTTTGAACAAAAATGTGCCAAACCCTCATATTTTATTTACTGCTTACAACAAAGGATTAGCACAGCTGAGTTCCTTGTTAATATTGCACATCTTCAAAATATTCCCTTCGCTAAGCGAAGCTTGTAGCTTTAGATACATGAGCTGGTGCTTCTAGAACAGGGGTCTTCAAACTCGGCCCTTTTATGACTCATGGACTTCAACTCCCAGAATTCCTCAGCCAGCGTGCCTGGCTGAGGAATTCTGGGAGTTGAAGTCCATGAGTCATAAAAGGGCTGAGTTTGAAGACCCTTGTTCTAGAAAAACTTGATTTTTCAAACATTGGCATCGGGACACGTTCTTGCAATGGGATACCTGCAACATGACACTATGTAAATACCGTTTTGCGCAACTTCTCTCTAGAGTGTGGCAGGCTGGGGAATTCTGGGAGTTAAAGTCCACCCATCTTAAAGTGGCTGAGGTTGAGAAAGATTGCTCTAGAGCAAGTCAAGTCGATGTGGCTGTGATTTGATTTGATTTGCAATAGAATTTAATGTACTGCACTGATGTGCAAGCTGTTTTGATTTTTAAGTGCAAAACAGCTGTTTGGAAGACAAAACAATTTGGTTTGACCTAAGGGAAGGTGTTTTGAAGAAGGCATTTCAAACCTGGAGTGTTTTGCACAGTCCTTTTGAATTGTGATTCAAATTTTGCAAAGCCACATAGTTGAGTTTTTTTTTTTCAGAATGTAACATAATCCCTCAAAAAGCTTGACCTCTGACCTAAAACCTTGGGTATAACTCAGGCATCATAACTTATGCAATGTGATTTAAGCAAGGAGCAGTGGCTCTATTCAAGATTCCTTTGAGACAAAAGTAATTAATTCAGTGTAACACTAATCATCAAAATGATCATTCCTGGACAAACCTAATGATGCAAAAACTAGTTAATTTACAGATCACGATCTCAAAGAAATTCGCTTGATGTTTTGTTGGATCTTTAAAAACCAACTGATTTTTATTGTGTTTGACATGATGGCACATAATCAAGCTGAATAACCACACAACTACAATTACAACCGCAACTGGACAGATCTAGATCTGAACTCATAATACAGGTAGTCCTGTATTGCAACTCAGCCCAAAATTTCTGTTGCAAAGCACGACCGTTGTTAAAGAGAGTTTTGCCCCATTTTACGACCTTTTTGTCACAGTTAAGAAAATCGCTGCAGTTATTAAGTAATTCACGCAATCGATAAAGGAGTCTGGCTTCTCCCATTGACTTTGCTTGTCAGTAATCAGGTTTACAAATGGTGATCATATTAGAATTTTAGAATTTAGAATACTTTATTTGGTCAAAATTGTGATTTAGACACACAAGGAATTTGTCTCCGGGACAGTGCAATTGCCATAAATACGTGCCAGTTACGAAACCCACGAATTTTGATCAGGTGACCATGGGAGTGCTTCAACAGTCGTAAATACAAAAACTGATCATAAGTCATTTTCTTCAGTGGTATTGTAACTTTGGTCAATAAACGGATGATTGTAAGTTGAGGACTACCTATATAGTTCTTTGACCTTATTAGTTTTGGGCTACTCATGACTTTCAGCAGTTAAAGGGGAAGAAGGGCTAAAAGATGGCAACAACCTTAAGCAGCGGTGGGATTCAAATAGGTGAACAATTGGTTCTCTGTGTGGATGCCGCTTCCGGAAGTCCATTCTGGGCCTGGGCAACAAAAAATGAGCTACCGGTTCTGCTGAAGTGGTGCGAACCGGCTGAATCCCGCCACTGATCTTAAGCCATCCGACTGACACTAATGTTTTCTTGGGCTGTTTTTTTTTTTCAGGAAAGTATGCCCCAGACGCCTCCCTTTGCAGCGATGTTTGACAGCAGCGGCTACAGCCGATACCTGTTCCAGTCCAAAGAGGACAGCTGTGAAGGGCTGTATTACCATGACAACAATCTGCTCTCAGGATCTTTGGAAGCTCTCATCCAGCACTTGGTGCCCACTCTCGATTACTATCCAGATGTAAGTCTTCTCCATTTGCAAATTAAATCCGCTCACCCTGCTGTGTCAAAAGTGGAAGGCATGGCAAGGAGCCATGAGACATGTAGGTTATGGAGAACGATTAGAGAGCAGGTCTTGCCAGCTCCACTTTTAGGCTGTCTTTCTTTTCTTTTTCTTTTTTTAATTTCCATAATGTATTTTATCAGTTTATCAAAATATAAAATGCAGAAGTACAAAGAAAAATGAAAACAAGGTGAAAAACCAGAGAGGAAAAGGGGGGAAGAGAGAAAAGTGTAGGGTAAGGTGTCCCAAAGGTGCTTTTTCAAAAGGCGACTGGACTTTGTTTTTCCTTGAAGAGGTTTCGCTTCTCATCCAAGAAGCTTCTTCAGAACTGTCAGAAGTTCTGTCAGAACTAAAGAAGCTTCTTGGATGAGAAGGGAAATGTCTTCAAGGAAAGACAAAGAAAATCCAGTTGCATTTTGAAAATGCACCTTTGGGACAACCACAACCTGGATGACTGAGAATCTCCATAGACATGTAGGGTAAGGTGCAAAAGAAAAAAAAAAGATGTTGAGACTCTAGAAAGCGTACAGAGAAGAGTAACAAAGGTGATTAGGGGACTGGAGGCTAAAGCATATAAGTAACGGCTGCTGGAATTGGGTAAGTCTAGTTTAATGAAAAGAAGGACTAGGGGTGACATAATAGCAGTGTTCCCATATTTAAGGGGCTGCCCCAAAGAAGAGGGAGTCAAGCTATTCTCCAAAGCACCTGAAGGCAGGAGAAGAAGCAACGGATGGAAACTAACCAAAGAGAGAAGCAACCTAGAACTAAGGAGAAACTTCCTGACAGTTAGAACAATTAACCAGTGGAACAACCTGCCTCCAGAAGCTGTGAATGTTCCAATACTGGAAGTTTTTAAGAAGAGACTGGACAGCCATTTGTCCGAAATGGTATAGGGTTTTCTGCCTGAGCAGGGGGTTGGACTAGATGACCTCCAAGGTCCCTTCCAACTTTATTATTATTATTAAAAAGAAAAAGCATTGACTTCCAATTCCTTTAGTGCAGTCGAATAAGGTAGTAACATAAACCTCAACCTTTTACTTGTATATGACAATACATACTAGCCACTTCTATAACAACAAACCTATCTAATCGGCAAAACTCAGAATTGAAAGTTACATTTTTTTCCCCCACCCCAGGCTGTATTTCTTGACATAGCTACTTTGAGCTTTTCTAAAAATGAGCCAGACTGTCATGACGTGGTAACTTCATCTCCCCCCGCCCTTTTTTGCTTACACCTTGAGTTTTCCAATCAGGCAACAACCTGTCCCTGACTCTTGAGAAAAGATGACAAAAGTGTTGTTGTGTCTGGATTGCATCTCTCTTTTTCTCCACGTCACTTGGTCGAGGGCTATTTCTGTCAGGACTGCTATGCGCACTACAGACATCAATGTTTGGCATTAAAGATGAAACCAGCTGCAGATGGTCTCTTTGATCTTTTTCTTGGACAGCGCAGAAGCAGCTGCGTGTCTTTGCAAAGGAGTATAATCCCCTTGTGCCCCTCAAGGAGGAAACTATCCTAGGGGCTGGAAAGATGACAAGGACAAGCAGAAAATATTTTTTTCTGAAAATATTTTTTTCCTGATCCAAAGTGGGATGCAGAATCAATGCATTCTCCTGGTTGATTCTCCTTCCACCTCACTTCCATATTAAAGTTGCTGTCAAGCTTAGCTGAAGTCCCTACCGATGTACAGGCACACGTTCATGCAGTTTTCTTGGCAAAATGCACAAATGGCTGCTTTCTTTTTTTACTTCCCAGTCTTAACATACAGCCATGATTATGAGGTCCCGTATCTACGTAATAAGCAGAGGGGGCCCCACTTAGCTTTCACATTCAATCAAAGTCAGCTATGTAAAATTACATAGTTGAGGGTGATCTCAATTCCTGGCAAATAGATGGGGAAGAAATGGAGGTAGTGACAGATTTTATCTTCCTGGGCTCCAAGATCACCACAGATGGGGATTGCAGCCAAGAAATTAAAAGATGCTTGCTCCTGGGAAGGAAAGCTATGGCAAATCTAGACAGCATACTAAAAAGCAGAGACGTCACCCTGCCAACAAAAGTACATATAGTCAAGGCCATGGTTTTCCCAATTGCAATGCATGGCTGTGAAAGTTGGACCATAAGAAAGGCTGAGCGCCAAAGAATTGAGGCCTTTGAACTATGGTGCTGGAGAAGACTCCTGCGAGTCCCCTGATCTGCAAGGCCATCAAACCGGTCAGTCCTAGAGGAGATCAACCCTGACTGCTCTTTAGAAGGCCAGATCCTGAAGTTGAAACTCAAAATACTTTGGCCACCTAATGAGAAGGAAGGACTCACTGGAGAAGAGCCTAATGCGGGGAAAGATGGAGGGCAATAGAAGAACGGGATGACAGAGAATGAGGTGGCTGGATGGAGTCACTGAAGCAGTAGGCGTGAACTTAAATGGACTCCAGAAGATGGTAGAGAACAGAAAGGCCTGGAGGAACGTTTTCCATGGGGTTGCAATGGGTCGGACACAACTTCACAACTAACAACAACATGGAAATTGTGCTATGATTGTCTACAGGTAGTCCTTGAGCTATGACCACAATTGAGTCCAAAATGTATGTTGCTAAGTGAGACAGTTGTTAAGTGAATTTTGCCCCATTTTACAGCCTTTCTTGCCACAGTTGTGAAGTGGATCACTGCAGTTGTTAAGTTATTAACACAGTTGTTAAGTGAATCCAGCTTCCCCATTGACTTTGTTTATCAGAAGGTCTCAAAAGGTGATCACATGATCCCCGGACACTGAAACCGTCATAAATATGAGTCAGATGCCAAGTGTCTAAATTTTGATTATGCGACCGTGGTTATAAGTGTGCACTTTTTCAGTGCCATTGAACTTTGAACAATCACTAAACTAACTCTTGTAAGTCAAGGACTACCTATATTATGGGAAGATCCTACACATACTTCATGCAGTTGCTTTTTGATGTCTGTTATGTTCATAGAATATTTTTGCTGTTCTACTAGTGTTAGGAATGATTATTTCAAAAACCAGCAGGTAAGACAAGTTGGTTTTTTAAAACACTCTCACGTGGAGGATCATAAGTCGGGCAATAATTATACATACATCTTTAAATGCTTCTAATGCTACATGCTTATTTATTGAACTACTTTGGACAGATCAATATAAATGCAGCTTTATAATTTGTATCACATTTTTCCAATGCAAAGCCTACCTCACCAGGCTAGTTTTAAGTTTCTGAAGAATTGAGACAGGATACATCTTCTCATTTTGTGTGATGTCTCCAAAGTACTACAAAATGTCTATCTATTTTTCTAATTTCAATGCAGGCTTGGTATTATTCCATTTTAGTACTTTCTTTTCATCCAGTTCATACCAAAAACCATCTCCTGTTATGAAAATCGCTTCGTGTTTTGAGAAACAATTTTTGTTGTGTCTTCTCAGAAATCTTCATTCCATATGCTTCAAAAACTGAAACCTTCCAGAGCAAATTCTTCTGCCTGTTTGGTCTGCTTTGGGTGGAATTCATGCACTCCATCTGTCATGTTTTTCTTACACAAACACACAAAATTACTAAAAAGTAATACGGGTGACAATATGGTAATTACTCTTTCCCCACAACACAGCCATTTCCTTGTCCTAAAATTTGGTGACTTGCAAACTGTTTCTAAGTTCAAAAATCTAGCTTGAGGGGTCCTTGGTGCTCTCTGAGCTTGCTTGTTTTCTTGCAGATGTTTCTTCACCCCAACTAGGTAATGCCATCAGTAACTTGAATTCTTCAAAAGGAGCAGCTTTCCAAGTTTTAATTAGTCCACATTGTGCATTAATCTTAATGACATCAATTATATAGGAGCTGACTATATGCAACTTGGGCCTCTTTCACAGCGTAGCACAAGCCTGTTCCTCTCCCCACAAAACAGGTGGCACACCAAAAAGGGCTTGAAAGAGGAAGAATTTTTTTCCCCTCTATGCCAGTGATGGCGAACCTTTTAGAGACCAAGTGCCCAAACTGCAACCCAAAACCCACTTATGCATCGTCGGGTGCCGAGTGGGTGTGGCCCATTGGGTGGGTGTGGCCCATTGGGTGGGCGTGGCTGTGGTTGGAACGGCAGACTGGGTGGGACTAAAAAGTTCAATCAATTCCAACTTTGCGAGATCTTTTTTTTCCCGCGAGAAGTTGAAATTGATTGAACCTTTTTTTTTTTTTGCACACGGCGGCAAAGGTCTAAAGTGAAAAGGTTTTATAAAACTCAGCTGAAGGCCTAGGACTGCACACAGAGAGGCCTCTGAGTGCCGCCTCTGGCATCTGTGCCATAGGTTCGCCACCACTGCTCTGTGCTATACTCGAATAAGGAAAAGATGCCAGGTGAGAGTTCCCTGCTGTATATCTTCTCCAAACTTCTATAAGGAAATATATAACATAGGGTACAGGTAATCCTTGACTTACGACCATAATGGAGCCTGGAATCAGATATAATACAAAACTATGCAAGTATGTAAAATTTAAGAATCTCTTGTGATTTGGGCCATTTCTTTAATTATATCTTTGGAGGTTGCAGGTGCAACAGATGCGAATACTTATTGCTGACTCATGCTTTGTGTACTAGCCAGCTGCAGTACTTACTCACAGCCTGGTATCAATCACAAATAGATACTCATCTCTAATTTGTCTTAGATCTAAACAGCAGGTCCTCAGAAACGTGCTGAATGATGGATTGATATTCCGCCTTAGGTTTCCTTAAGGTGGAAATGATGTGTTGACTCCACTGATGTTAATTACTCAAATAAGTTGCGCAATATCTTCAAAACACTCCTATTGCCTTGCGAAGCTGATTCACACTCACATATAGAAGCATAGAATAAAGTGAATAACACCCTTCTGGATAACTCGTGTGGGATTGGTGAAACTCTGGAAGCCTGGTGGAATTTTCCATCTTGTGACTGACTGGTTGATGACCTCAAAGCAACAGAAATTCCCTGTTGGAAAATTGCAAGCAGGTTTGCAATCCTCTGGGTTCACTTCCTAATAAAATGAAGCTCGCTACAAATTTATTGAATGTAGAATTTGTCAGCCATTTTGGCTCAGGAATTCTGGGAGTTGACGTCCACGGGTCATAAAGAGGCCATAGTTGTCCTCCCCTGGCTTAGCCAGAATCAATGTCAAAACTGTCCACCCAACTCTATATAAGGATTGACACATACAGCTGAATAACTGCCCCACCTTGTCTCTTTGTCTTATTCAGTCAGGATGTGATATATTCTAAGCAGGTTTTGCACAGAGTAGCATTTGGTGCAATTAAACTTTAACACCTTTGCAGAATGGTATCTGAACAAATAGGTGATGAACTTTATTTCTCTCTCTCTCTCTCTCTCTCTCTCTCTCTCTCTCTCTCTCTCTCTCTCTCTCTCTCTCTCTCTCTCTCTCATTTACAGAGGACATACATCTTTACTTTTCTGCTGAGCTCTCGGCTTTTTGTGCACCCTTATGAATTAATGGCAAAAGTCTGCCATCTCTGCACTGAGCAGCAGAGGCGAGTGGATTCTGCGGCTGATCAAGTAAGTGGCCCACTAAGTCATTGAATTTGAGGCCTGTGCCAGGAGAAAGACAGGATGGAAACTTAGACTTCCCCCAAAGGAGAGCATTCTAAATATATTGGAAACTAAGTGTTTATGATGCTGGCTAGTTGAATTTATAAGTTTTCCCTCCCCCCCCCCAAGTTCACTCTTGTGAATCTAATCCTTTTGTTTATTATTATTAATTCTCAGAACAGCCTTGCAATATGTACTCACTGAGATCCAGTGAGGATCGTGCCTGTGTGAGTTTGTAGCAGAGAGATGCAAAATCGATTCTAGAGAGGAAATGGCCAAATGCATTCTGGGTGAAAAATGGACCCTTCCAAGGAAAAGTGGAATGATCTGTCTCTAGAATGGGGACTTTGAACCTAATTAAACTGTTCTCAGATCTGGTGGAGCATATAACTAGTCCTTGACTTATTACCACAATTTGGACTTCCATTGCTAAGCAAGGCAGTTCAATGAGTCACATCTGATTTTAAAAACTATTTGTGACACGGTTGTTAAGTGAATCATTCATTTAACCTGTTAAATGAATCACACAGTTGTTAAATGAATCTGCCTTCCCCTCTTGACTTTGCATTGACTTTATGACAGTCGCAAATGCGTGGACCAGTTTTAAGTCACTTTTTTTTAGTGCCTTTGTAACTTTGAACAGCCACTATGCAATCAGTTATAAGTTGAGGACTACTAGTAATTATCACCTCCAGTATTGTGTGTGGTCCACTTTAAGAAAGACACAGACAAAACTGGAAAGGGTATGAGAAAGAGAAAACAGAAATTTAGATTCCTGCAAGACAGATTGGGGAAATTAGAAAGATTTTACCACAGCAAAAGATGACCCATTGGATATGGGATAATTCTCTTCAAATACCCAAAGAATATTTGGGGAGACCCAAAGAATATTTGAGGAGACCCAATGAATTTCACATAGGAGAGGGCCAAGATTTGCTTCTACCCAAATGCAGGCCACAGAATAATAGGTTTATTTATTTTAAAAGGAAGGCTCATTCCAATGTAATGTTCAGGGGAAAAAATCTTGATGGTAAAAATTCAGTAGGGAAAGCAGGTATGGGTGGATGTCTCTTTCCCTTGAAATGTATTTATTTATTTGTAAAATTTATTGGCTGCCCATCTTACCTCAGGGTAACATTTACCTCAGGGTAAATGTTCATGCAGAGGTTGGGAAACCATTTGCTGGGGATGGAGGTTAATTTGGATTTTTTTTTTTTTTTACTAAATAGAAGGATGGAATCAGTAACCTCTTTCAGTTTTTTGATTTGCCAATCTTCCTTAACGCTGTCATGTCACCTATCTTGGAATGCAGTAATGAAAACCTATATTCTGCCCAACTTTCAAGGAGATTTCCTCAGTCAGCTTTGTAATCACTTTTCTCTTTCACTTCACCTTTCTCTCCAGGGCCGGTTAAGGAAAATTGCCCCCAAAATCCTACAACTCTTGGCTGAGTGGACGGAGACATTTCCGTACGATTTTCGGGATGAGCGCATGATGAGAAATCTAAAAGAATTGGCCCACCGAATAGCCAGTACAGATGAGGTGAGCCTCAAGGTGCAGAACGGTTGCCAATAAAAGAAAATAATATGCAGAATGTTTATATATGTGGAATATAGGATAACGTGGAATGTAGTGGTTATATATGTGGAATGGAATATACAGGCAGTCCTCGACTTACAATCCCAGTTGAGCCCAAAATTTCCGTTGCTAAGCAAGACAGTTTTTAAGTCTCCATTTTACGACCTTACTTGCTGCAGTTGTTAAGTGAATCACTGCGGTTGTTAAGTTAGTGACCCGGTTGTTAAGTGAATCTGGCTTCCCCATTGACTATGTCAGAAGGTTGCAAAAGGGGATCACGTGATCCCATAAATATATGTCAGAGGCCACGCATCTGAATTTTGATCATGTGACCAACAATGGGGGATGCTACAATTGTCGTAAAAGTGAAAACGGACATAAGTCATTTTTTTCAGCGTCGTAACTGTGAATGGTCACTAAATGAACGGTTGTAAGTCGAGGAGAACCTGCATGAGAAATGATTAATTCTGCTGTATTTGCAGAATATGTATAGATGTAGAATGTCAAGGGTCTTCACTTGCAACTTCTGTACAAATGGAAATGACCACATGAAAGAGCAGAAAAGCGGGTTACATTTCAGCCTTGATAAGTTGTAATAAAAGGTAGATCGGTATATTCAGGGAATGCAAAATCCAGTTCAGCCATTTTATAATTAGTGATAGTTCATAGAAATTTGCAGGTCATTGCAAATTTGCATGAGTCCCCAAGGAGGAAGCATTGACGTTTCCTTTGGATCTATCTGTCACTCTCATTTATTCAAAACAATTTTGGATAATGTTTGATGTTCTGATTTTGTTAAAGTCTCTCTGAGTTTTGTTAGAGGTAGATATAATATAAGCAGTTACATCAGAGAGAATTCATTCCATCTCACATCCATTCTGAGGGTGGGAAATTAGATTTAGCTAGTCTGCCTTTTCTCAACTTGTTTCTTTAACTCCTTTGCTCTTGCATAAAGCTGCTTACCCCAAAACATAATAGTATGAGAAATATGAATCTATGCACAGTTTTCTGCATAGAGAGGTAGTGGATTCCCTGATTTGAATAGATAAATTGCATGGAGATAATATGGAACCCCAGGATACTCTCACATGGATGTGTTTATTCATCCTCATTGGATATGCTTCATGACCCCCACAAAGGGACATCCTTTTCCACAGAGGCCCCCACCTTGGTTAACTAGCCTTCCTCTACAACAGGGGTATCCAACCATGGTTGGGTGTCCAACCATGTCTGCTTGGGGAATTTTGGGAGTTGAAGTCCACAAGCCTTCAAGTTGCCAAGGTTGGACACTCCAGTTCTAGAAGTTCACTTATTACTGTCCTTGGCATCGTTCTATAAGGCTGACCTTTGGCAACTAAGATTGTGGTAATTGTGTGGGTTAGTCATTATTTTTCTATTTTTCATTCTTTGCCGCTACATTGAGCTTGTTCAATCATTGTGTAACTTTTATTATTCTGAATTCGATGCTTTAAGTGGTTTCAATTGTTGGAAACCACATTGAGTCATTGTCTGCTTGTGACGTTATACAAACAAGACAGATTAATAGATAACTGTTGTTGAGGAATGCAGAGCTATCCTGAGAAACACTGGAGGTAAGAGCAGCTGGAGTATTTCATAATCACAAGGAAAATGCCCACAGGCTATTCTGAGCTAGGAAAATACATGAGTACTTTTTAAAGGATGAGCTAAAGGAAGCTTTTCCCAGTGGTTGTATTGTCCAGATATTTTGGGCTTTAATATTATTTTGTATAAATAGCTCAAGGTAGTGAACATACATAACACTTTTTTTTTCTTCCTGTGAGGTGGGTTGGGTTGAGAGAAAGAGGGAGGGCAATTGTCCCAAGGCACCTAGTCTGCTTTCATGCCTAGAACTCACAGTCGCCTGGTGATTGGTTCAAAGTCACCCAGCTGGCTTTCATAGCTAAGGCGGGGCTAGAATTCACAGCCTCCTGGTGATTGGCCAACTGATCATATCAGCTTTTTCCACCCAATATCCTAAAACTCCACTATGTAACATCTCATAAGTTCATCAACATTTACACAGGTCTCATTCCAGATCTCTGAGGTCTTGTGCACAAGTTGAGGAAGATAGTCCATTGCATTAAATGGGACTGTAACAATGACATCAGAAGTTAGATGTGTAGTTGACCAGACAAATACCGTATAAAACAGTGGTTCTCAAACTTTTTAATGCCGCGACCCCCAACCGGTCGTAAGTTGAGGACTACCCAACCGTAAGTTGAGGACTACCCAACCGGTCGTAAGTCGACTTTCCCTGCCCGGGAGTGCCACGCATGTGTGGTGCCATCCCCTGCGCCAGTCGAGGCGTAGCTGGCAAGCACCAGAGACGGCGCAGGCCGACCACCGGCTGGGCCACCAGCTGGCCCAGCCCAAGGGAGGTAAGGCACCTGCCGGGCCCCACGCGTGCCAGCAACCATCCCTGCGCCCGCCGGCCTCCCACCTCTCACCCCTGGCCCTCTTTTACTTACATTTTTAGTAGTTGCTCAGCAGGGAGGGTGGAAACTTCCAGACAGCTCGCCTTCGCTGCAGACAACTTGCAGCACCGTTTGCAGACTGGGACTTTTGGCAGGCTCAGCAGGGCAGAGACAGCCTGGACAATTCCTATTGGCTTTTGAAAGCCAATAGAATTAGACTCTATTCAAGAGAGTCTATTCTATTGGCTTTCAAAAGCCAATAGAATAAAAGGGAGTAGCTAAGGAAAAGGGGGAAAAAAATGGCGGACTGCGTTGTTTGGCGACCCCCGTGAAATGGTCATTCGACCCCAGATGGGGTCCCGACCCACAGGCTGAGAACCGCCGGTATAAAGGAAGTATGAAGGTCTTTTTTCTATCTCCCAAGCCCCATATTATCATGTTAGGTGGAATGCAAACTCGGAAAGGCTTGTTGCTCAAAGGACAGAAGAGAATTTGTCATATTAAATCTGTTTTTCATCCACAAGTGACTCAGAGACAGATGTATTCTCAGTGAATGTGTTGTAGAACTGTGTAGTGGTAGTTGTTGTAATAAATGTTGGATCTTAAGGCAGTGTTTTTCAACCTTTGCAACTTTAAGATGTGTGGACTTCAATTCCCAGAATTGCCCAGCAAGTATACTGGGGAATCCTGGGAGTTGAAGTTCACACATTTTAAAAGTTGCCAAGATTGAGAAACGCCGTCTTGAGGTTTGCACTTGGTTGGCTTTGAACCTAGGAATTGTCTTTCGGTTACCGTTATGAAGCTGTTAGAAAGATTTTTATGGTTTATTTCAACTTTCAAGTCACCGTGAGAGGGTGGTTTTGTCCGTGGGCAATCCACATGCAATTTTAAATAAGTGCTCCTGTTTTCGCATACTGAAAAAAGATATTTGAAAAAAAGAAATGGAAAAGTCAATATTGTAATACAATTCAGAGCGCCGTAAATTATTTGTGATGCTGGCTAGCAGTTTCTTTGGAAAAGTAAAGTGTGACCTTGTGTGCATCGCACTGCATTGCGGATCAGGACAAGGAGTGTTGGGCTTCCAAGAATATAACTTCCACCAAGGCCTCCTTCATAGATTTATGCTTTCCCTTTTTTAAATCCAGGAATTGAATATAGATAGTCCTCAACTTAACAACAGTTCCGTTTAGTGACTGTTCAAAGCTACAATGGCACTCAAAAAAGTGACTTATGCCTGTTTTTCACATGGCCCTTGCAGCATGCACACGGTCACATGATCAAAATTCAGACGCTTGGCAACTGGCTCATATTTATGACGGGTGCAGGGATCACCTCTTGCAACTTTCTGACAAGCGAAGTCAATGGGGAAGCCAGATTCACTTAACAACCGAGGTACCAACTTAACAACTGCAGGGATCCACTTGACAACTGTGGCAAGAAAGGTTGTAAAATGGGGCAATACTCACTGAACAAATGTCTCACTTAGCAAAGTTTTGGGCTCAATTGTGGTCGTAAGTTGAGGACTTTAATGCTTTTTGACTAGAGTTATATCATATCCCAGAAGCATCCTGGGAATTTTTGCTTCCTCAGTCCATCCATCTGCTTTTTTTAGTAGTCTGCAGAAGTCTGAGATTTCACCATGTGCGGCTGGTAACTAGACAATGTTCTCAAATCAAGAATCTGCCTCTCCCCTATGTTGATATGTAGCTCTCTTAATTTTCTAGCTAAGGTAACATCTGTGGTAACAACTGCACTGTGGAGCTACCCCCAAGAATGCAGGAGTTTTGATAAGAAGACCTTAGCATTCCTTCTCAGCTGTCTCATCTACAAGCCAAAGAGAATATGGCAAGAATAGTCTTTGCCATGTTCTCTAAACAAGTTGAAAGATACAAAATAAATGGAAAGGAAAACTGAAGCAGAAAACCAGGGAGCAAAAAATGAACCTTACCACCTCTGTCTTTCCGATACAACTATCTTCATTGTCCTATATAAACTAGAAATAATAGGAATAGGAATAGGAATAGAAATAGGGGTAGGGTAGGGTGGAGTGGAATGGAATGGAATGGAATGGAATGGAATGGAATAGAATAGAATAGAATAGAATAGAATAGAATAGAATAGAATAGAATAGAATATATGGAATAGAATAGAATAGAATAGAATAGAATAGAATATATGGAATAGAATAGAATAGAATAGAATAGAATAGAATAGAATAGAATAGAATAGAATATATGGAGTGGAATGGAATAGAATAGAATAGAATAGAATAGAATAGAATAGAATAGAATAGAATAGAATAGAATATATGGAATAGAATAGAATAGAGTAGAGTAGAGTAGAGTAGAGTAGAGTAGAGTAGAATAGAATAGAATATTGGCCAAGTGTGATCAGACACACAAGGACTGATCCTGGTGCTTCCACTGAGCCCTGACAGCCCCGAAGAAGCACCGATCAGTTGGAAAGTGGCACTGATCCTGGCGCTTCCGCTGAGCCCTGACAGCCCTGCAGCTCCAACCATTTCTCGCTCAGGCTTGTGAGATGCTGCCACTGGTTCAGCTCAATCCCCTCCCCCACTACACTTTTCTAAGTTGGTCATGTACCACCTGCCAAGTGCCAATGTACCACAGGTGGTACCCATACCACTGGTTGAAAAGCCCTGCTTTAGAGAAGGTAACATTTCTGTCTACTCGAGCAGACAAAATTTGGTACATCAAGAACCACTCTGTGGAATGGTGAAAGAAGAAGTCAGTGTAATGCAAGATCTTAAAGTGAAATAACACAGGTGGGTTTAAGTTCTCCATATTGTATTGTTCCATGTTGTCCCTGGCTTAGTAGGCCAGGAACAGAGCAAAACCAGGGTTGAATCTTGAACTTCTTTTTGATTGTTGTTGTAGTTGTTCAGTTGCTAAATCATGTCTGACTCTTCACGACTCCATGGACCATAGCACACCAGGCCCTCAAGGGTCTCCCAGGGTTTTCCCAAACTCATGTTCATTGCATCGCTGACACTATCTAACCATTTCATCCTCTGCCGTCCCCTTCTTTTTCCTTCCATCTTTCCCAACATCAGGGCCTTTTCCAGTGAATATATTTGGTGGTCAAAGCATTTGAGCTTTAACTTCAGAATCTGTCCTTCCAATGAACAGTCAGGGTTGATTTCCTAGCATTGTCTGATTTGATCTTGACTCCGACATCACAATTTGAAAGCATCCATTTTTCAATGTTCAGCCTTCCTTACGGTCTTAACTTTCATACCAGAATGTTTCATACCAGAATGAAGTAGAAAGGCATGGGTGCCCAAATATTTAGATTTGCCTTCCCTCATTACTCTTGAGTGTCAACCATAACCAGTTGTACCAACAGAACATTTGTACCTCAGAATTGAACTGTGGCTTCCTTGGTGCACTCTGAGCTTGGTTGTTTCCTTACAGACGTCTCATTACCCAACTAGGTAACATCATCAGTGCTAGCAAATGTATGAATGAAACATCTTCAAAAAAACAGCCAAGCTCAAATTCCCCCCCCCCCCAAATAACCAGTTGTCATACACACTTGGCATTAACAGAGAATTGCGACAGAATGTATTTGGATGTATTTTTTAAGTTTGGGAAGTAAAAAAAAAAGCAAAGCCTATTATTCTCACTATTCAGTATATTTTTTGTTGTTTTTGCCATAATGATTAAAAACAGCTATAGTGCCAGCCTCTAATGTCCTTTTCAGTTGGATCTGTCCTTCTGGGGCAGGGGTAGGCAACCTCAGCTCTTTTATGACTCGTGGACTTCAACTCCCAGAATTCCTGAACCAGCATGGCTCAGCTTGGAAACCTCTCCCTTTCTCCTCAGCATGGCTGACTCAGGAATTCTGGGAATTGAAGTCCACCAGTCATAAAAGAGCCAAGATTGCCTACCCCTGCTCTAGGGCATGAGAGATGAAATGCAATCAGGGAAGAAGAAGTAGGGGAAGTGGAAGAAATAAAAATAAATAAATTGCCCTCATCCATAGTATCCTTTTTCCCCTCAGAAATTCAGATATGATGTACATTCGTTCTTTGCCTTTAGGCACCCTGCATGTATGCCTAGCGTGAAAGACATCTCTCGTTACGGTTCTTCAATCCATCAAGGTCCTTACAAGGTCCCTTACTAGCCTTTTGTTGTCTTTTGTTGTCTTTTCACATTTAATCAGAAGTTTAAATTCCATTTTTTTTAGAATGTGAGTTTTGACTTAAGAATAAAACTCTACAAGTACTTGACATATACACCGTTCTCTCTCTCTCTCACACACAGCCTGGATGTAAATTAGAAGTTATCCTCCAGATTGAAACTCGCTTTTAAGGTTTCTTATTAAAATTACGTCATAGCCTCAAAAATGCTGGCAAGTCAGTTTGTGTTGGAAACTCGGCTTGCGCAAACAATTTGGTCACATAGCCACAAGCTAAGTCTGCTGAAGGAAGAGGTTAAGCCAGAAAAAGAAAGAAAATTAAAGTTGTGGTTTTTACTGGAAGGGTCTACGGTGGACAACTTAAATTGGCACGCGTTTTGTTTGTTTTTTTCTGTCGCTGCAGTTTCTACCTCCACTTTTTCTTTTCTTTTTTTTTTTAAAAAATTATGTCTTTCATAGTACAAAGATGCCGTGCAGGTGAGCCAGAAGTAAATTTAATCCTGGATTTCCACTTTAACTCCCTTTGTACTTGCCTAATTCTTTGCTGCCATTTTTTTAAAAAAATTGTATTCATTAAAAACCTCTGCATGCATGAGCTTGTGTTCTGCATAGGAAAAAATGAACTTCAAAGCATAATACAGGTGGTCCTTGACTTACAACCTTTTGTTTAGAGATTGGTTGAAGTTACAGTGGCACTGAAAAAAAGTGACTTGTGTTTTTCATATGACCCTTGCAGCATCCCCAGGGTCACATGATCAAAATTGACCTCTTGGCAACTGGCCTGTATTTATGACAATTGCAGTGTTCCAGGGTCACGTGATCCCTTTTGCGACCTTCTGACAAACAAAATCAGAGGGGAAGCCATATTCACTTAACAGCCATGTTACTAACTTAATTGCAGTGATTCACTTAACAACTGTGGCAAGAAAGGTCGTAAAATGGGGCAAAATTTACCTTACAGCTGTCTTGCTTAACAGTGAAAATTTTGGGCTCATGTGGTATATTGAGGACTGCTTTTTTCTAGAACAAATATCATATCATTAGTCACATCCGCTGCAGTAATCCTTTTGTGACAGTGCTCATAGGTGATCTGGTTGTGCCCGTTGACTTAGAAGAGCTTAGTGGTACGTGTTGGGGGGTCATCACATACCTCTAATACAAAAAAAGGTCTAAGGGGGAATTTCTAAATTTGCTCTTCTTCGTTTACGGTAATGTGTGTACCATTCCAAATGCAAAATACTATAAATAGACCAGATCCATTGTTGTTGTCCCCTATTTGGGATGGTGATTCCCAAAATTCCCAACTTTTATATTTGATGAAAACTTGGTTTTTATACCTGCTGCTCCTGCTGTCTCTCTTCCCCCTTGTCAGCTTCATGAAATTTAGTAGGTTTAGGTGAAAAACTCAGTGGAGTACAAGAAACTTGCAAATTCTTTTCTTTTCTTAAAAAATACAGTTAGACCTTGCAGACTCAAGTCATCAGCGGAATATCATTCTTCATTGCACAGTTCAGCATATTGATATTGTCAACAGTATTTCATGGTTCCGATAGATGAAACTCTTCAAAAGAACTTCGAGGCATTGTTTACCTTAAAGAATCTTTTATTCGAGAAACAAAGCATTGGCACTACATAGTTGAAATCAGAAATTAAATTCCCCTCCCCTGGATACAAAGTAACAAAGTGCAATTCCCTCCTCTAATTAACAGTCATAAATCACATTCCCAATTAGCTTGAAGCGCAGGCTTTCTCCCCAGCTCTCCAGCCCGCTAAAACACTATCAATGTCCTTGGATTCCCACGGCTGAGTTATTATTGTTATGACTAGCTGGACTCCCATCCCTATTCCCCCCTCTAGCAGCAACTAATTCTAAAAGCAATAGAGAAAATGGCTGCATTTTCATCTGTTGTCAAAGGAAGAACATCCGATGTTAGCAGCATTGACACAGTACATCCTGGTGAGAATTTTCTCTTGCAGTTATGCAATCAAACCACTGTGCCCGCAAAAGCAGAGGGCAGGGATTCTTGCCAAGTTTACTAAGAAATCCAAGGCACTGGTTGTGTCTGCAGAGCAGGAAATTGCCCACAAATTGGAATGTGCTCCATATCTCCATTATGACATCTTAGCCTTCATTTTCCACCCCTTTCTGTGAATAAGATAATGCCTATAGCAGCAGCCTCAACTTTTTGGGCACCAGGAACCGATTCTGTAGAGAAAGGTTTTTTCGTGGACCCGAAGGGGCGTGGTTTCATGTGCTCATTTGCACGGCCCAGTTGCTGGCATGCCACGGCCCGGTGTTGGTCCATGGACCCGGGGTTGGGGACCCCCTGGCCTATAGCATTGTCATGAGAAAATGAGAATACGACACATCGTGTTAAAAAAGAATTTAACAATTGCATGCTGACCTAGTTAGTCAAAAGTATAATTAGCTCACCAGTTTTGGTTAGTTTTCTACATTTCCTCTGCTAGTTCCAAGGAGGAGGAGAAGGAGGAGAAAGCCTAAATTCATAAAACAATTGTAAAAGAATAAACAAAAAAAAGTTAAGTGAGAATTCTGGGGTTTATATGCAGCTACAAATTATGATTGCTGATGTCGAAATCTTCAAAAGGATGTGGTTTCCAATTCTCTTTGGTTGCAAAGCTGTAGAGAACAAGTTTGGTCTAGTGCAGGGGTCTTCAAACTTGGCCCTTTTATAACTTGTGGACCTCAACTCCCAGAATTCCTCAGCCAGGCACGTGTGCCTGGCTGAGGAATTCTGGGAGTTGAAGTCCACAAGTCATAAAAGGGACAAGTTTGAAGACCCCTGCCTTAAATCTAACAAACAAAATGGAGCTGGCTGAAGAATTCTGCAAGTTGAAGTGCACAAGTCATAAAAGGGCCAGGTTTGAAGACCCCTGCCTTAAATATAACAAACAAAATGGAGGCTGGCTGAGGAATTCTGGGAGTTGAAGTCCACAAGTCACAAAGGGCCAAGTTTGAAGACCCCTGGTCTAGTGGTTAAGGCACCAGGCTCGAAAGCAGGAGACCCTGCATTCAATACCCACCTTAGCCATGAAAGCTGGCTAGGTGATTTTGGGCCAGTTACTTTCTCTTAGCCCAACTCACCTCACAGGGTTGTTGCTGTGGGGAAAATGAGAGAAGGAAGGTGTGTTGGATTAGTTCACTGCCCTGAATTATTTCTACAAATAATAAAGGCGGGATACAAACAAGGTCCTCACGAGCAGATCTTCTGGCATACCGCTATGTGTAAGCTCCACCAATAGAAAGCATTTCAGGCATTCAAAAATGATGATCACTTTCATTATTTCTCTTCCCATTGACAGACCTATCGGAAAAACGTGCAGCAAGTCATCCAGAGCCTCATTCGTAAGCTGGCTTCTCTTAACCAATACGAGGAAGTTCTGGCAAAAATCAATGCTACTTCAACCGATAGGCTGACGGTTTTAAAGACCAAACCCCAGGCCATCCAACGAGATATCATCACCATTTGCAGCGATCCTTACATGTTAGCTCAGCAGCTGACTCACATAGAGATTGTAAGTTTATTCCCCCACTGTATTTTACTGTTGTTTGATCGTTTTTCTCAGTGATCTTCTACAAGGGGCAGTGCAGTAGTTAAGGCGCTGGGCTTGTTGGCTGGAAAGCCAGCAGTCCAGGTTTGAGGCCCGAGCGCTTTGCGATGGGGTGAGTTCCCATCCTCGCCTCACCTCCTGCTAACTTAGCAGTTCAAAAGCATAAGATAAGATAACCTTTTTTTTAAAAAAAAAAAAAGTTTTATTGATTTTCTAATTTTACATTTAAATATTTAAAAAGCAATGTGCTGACTGAGTTAATCGATAATTCAATAACATACAAATATCTTTAGTACAAGTCTCAAACTACTACGTTAAATATTTCTTCTCTTTTCCCCTTAGTATTTACTGTCTCATGTTTAAACTAATACAATTCTTATTATATCAATTAAATAAAAATAACTTTCTTACATTCATCAATAATTTTTAGTTTATACATATCCTGGTTATTTTAACCTTCAATCTTTATAGACAATCAATGTCCTAATTAGTTTCCCCCAATTTTTAGTTTCCCATTAATATTTAAATTTAAAAGTTAATATTTATAATTTCCAAGTTTTAAATAACCAGAGTTCCCTTTATCACAATTCATCACAAAATCTAATATTCAGGATACACGTCTTAGATAAGATAACCTTTATTGTCATTTTTTTCTGTGAGCATACTGGCACACATTAAAAAATGAAATTCATGCTCTCAAAAGCAATGCAAATGCAAGTAGATAAATAGGTACCACTTCAGTGGGAAGGTAACAATGCTCCATGATGTCATGCTGGCCACATGATTGCAGAAATGTCTTCAGACATTGCTGGCTCCATGACTTGAAATGGTAATGAGCACACACACACCCCATAGTAAGCGACGACTAGTGTGTAAAATCTGCAGGACTCCTTTACTTTTACCTTTACTTCTACAAGGATGAATGTTGACCATGCAGTGGAATTTTTCTTTCTTTCAGGAGAGACTTAGTTATATTGGGCCACAAGAATTTGTCCAAGCGTTTGTACAGAAGGATACCCTGGACAATGAGAAGGTAAAAAGCATGAACAATGATTTTTTACTTGATTCTTCATTTGTGCCAACCCGTACCTCATTATTTGCACTCTTCTTAAATGCTCTCAAAGTCCTGCACATATTTTCGTACATGTATCTTAGTGCAGAGGTCCCCAACCCTCAGGCTGTGGACCGGCACCAGGTCACACAAGTGAGCAAAACCCCATCCGTGCATGCACAGGATCCAGGTAGTGTAGGACACTACAGAACTGGTCGTTGGCACCAAAAAAGTTGGGGGCTGCTGTCTTAATGCACACATTTTTGCAAAATTTCTCCCCAAATAATTCACTTTTGTGCAAGTTAAACATGGATTTCATTGGAAAATGGTGTTGGTTTGCATATTATAAATTCAGAAAGTAAATTTGCTTTAAAATATTTGCCCAGTAAAAATGTCTCTGATCTCCAATATTGTCACGCTTAACTGGTTTTTTCTAGTTTAGCTTTTAAAGTGGGCTTCCTCAGTCTGGCAACCTGCAGATTTGTGGAGACTACAACTCTCCTCCTTACCAGTTACCAGTATATTTACCAGCATACTAACCTGGCATGCCATTACCCATTACCCATTGGTGCAGGGTGTTGTGTCAACAGGTCTAAAGAGGAACAAGTTGGATAGGACTTGCTGCAAAGCATTGTTTCTCAGTTTTAGTAACTTTAAGATGGGTGGACTTCAACTCCCAGAATTTTCAAGCCAGCATGCTGACTGGAGAATTCTGGCAATTGAAGTCCACACCTCTTAAAGTAGTAAAGATTGAGAAACAGTACTGTAGAGGGTTGTGGAATATAAAGGAGAGATAGGAGTACAGCAAAGAGGTACATATCTTAGATCAGGGGTCCCCATTCCCTGGTCTATGGATCGGTACCAGTACCATGTGGTGCGTAGCATCTGAGGCCGGTGTCTTACCAAGTCATTATTTATGAGCAAGCAGCTGGCAAGGAAGCCCTTTCAAACAATAGCCCATCTTGAAGTGAAGGCACAAGCTTCGCATCTGCATTTTCTGCCTATTATCTCTATTCGGACCCCTGATGTTGACTTTTATTTGGCTCCTCCTTTGAACCCAAAGTGGAAAGATGTCTGTGTTTCTCAACCTTGATAATTTTAAGGCATGTGGACTTCAACTCCCAGAATTCCACAGCCAGCATTGCTGGCTGTGGAATTCTGGGAGTTGAAGTCCACATGCCTTAAAATTGTCAAGGTTGAGAAACACTGGTCTAAGTGATTGGGAATTCAAGTTACCTGAAACAGCAGCTTATTTTAACTAGTCTTCATAGAACAGGGATCCCCAACCCCCTGTCTGTGGACCAGTACCGGGCCGTGACATGCCAGCAACCGGTCCACACAAACAAGCAAAGCCCCATTCACAAGATGCAGTCAGCACACAAAACCACGCCCCCTCTGGTCCGCAGAAAAACCTCTCTCCACATAACCAGTCCCTGGTGCCCAAAAGGTTGGGGACCTCTGCCTTAGATTACTGGATCTTCTGACTGATACTTCTGCTTTGTTGTGGTATTTATATTATTACGACTTGCAGTACCATAGGGTGATTTATGATTGCCCCATTCTGGCATGTTACTTCAGCTTACCTAGTGATGAATGACCCTGGGATCTACTAAAGGTATTCCTCAGCAGTTCTAATCAGGATCAGCCATGTTTCATTTCTGAGCCCCAACTGGCCTGGCCTGGTGCTACCACTTCTTTAAACTTATGGAAGGAGAGAAGTGATCATAAAGTTCTCTCACTTTACTCCATCCTAAGTTTAAAGAAGTGCTACCGCTTCTTTAAACTCACGGAGCGAGAGAAATGAACCCCTGATTTTTGTTTTCTTCCCAAGAGTTCCTACGGGGATCGGAAGAAGTCTCGGAATCTGGAAGCTTACGTTGAATGGTTCAATAGACTGAGTTATTTGGTTGCCACAGAAATATGCATGGTAAGCAAAGCCGTTCATTGGTCTTCCTTCCGTATGCGGTGCCCCTTCCTTCCTTCTGCTGGGATCAGACCACAGAGACTTGCTGGGAGCTATATCCTATGCACAAGATTGTATGGTACAGAAGAAAAACTCTGCCCCAAACCCCTTTGAGGTTGCAGCTTTTGTTGAGTGGAATTCACACTGGTAATTATTCCTCGCTATAAGAATGCCTCCTGTCTAATTTAGCAGAAATGGCGAAAATCTCCGCCTATTTGAAGGATCATTCACAAGAAAGATATATTATGGTTTGGAGAAGATGGATTGATTATATTCAGAAGAAGTGTGAAACTGAAAAGTATTATCTTGCTTTTGAATAGATTTTAGATAATTATTAATAGTATTAATAGTATTATTATTGTTGTCTTAATTTGTTAATATTTGTTTTGAGAAGGAGTTAACGTGTATTATTGTTTTGATTGATAGTTTAGTTGGTTTATGTTAGCTAGATTATGTTTGTTTATTTGTTACCCTGTAATCAACTCTGGGAACTGGCGGAGGGGGGGAGGGGATGGGTGGGTTTATATTGTAATTTGTAGAACTTTTAATAATAAAAAAAAACGCCTCCTGTTAATCTGCTTGAATGTCCCTCTGATGTCCTTGCTTTCTCCAGGAAGGGAATATGTGTGAGTGGGTATATTTTTGGAAAGCTGACAGCCCGGGTTTGAGACCCGAGTGCTGTGCGACAGGGTGAGCTCCTGTTCCTTGCCCCAGCTCCTTCCCACCTAGGAGTTCGAAAGTATGCAAATGTGAGTAGATTAATAGGTACCACTTCGGTGGGAAGCTAACAGTGCTCTGTGTGCCTTTGGCATATAGCCATACTGGCCACATGATGACAGAAATGTCTTTAGACAATGTTGGCTCCCTCGGCCAAGAAACAGACTAGACAGGGAAACCGTTACCTCTGACTCCAGCCTGAAATGTAGCTGTTTCTTTAAAAATTAAATGCGATGTTCTAAAAAGCTCAAGAGATCCTTCTTCAAATTTGGGCAAGTTATCAACTAAATGCCCATCTTGTGTTTTGCTCTCTCACAGCCTATCAAGAAAAAACATAGAGCAAGAATGATAGAATACTTCATTGATGTCGCTCGAGAGTGCTTCAACATCGGCAACTTTAACTCTTTAATGGCTATTATTTGTGAGTATGAATAAGAAGGCTTTCTATCCATTCCGTTTATGTTATGCTTTGGAAAAAGCACTTCTTAGATGTTTCCCCTTCATCTAATTCTGCCCCAAATTAGGAAGCTTCTGGATCCTGTTGGATAACCTGGCAGCTTCCACATTTGTTAGGGTTCCTGGGATTTCTAGGAATTGTAAGTCTTAAACTGTAAGGTGACCAACCATCCTCCCTTAGGGAGGACAGTCCTTCTTTTGTAAGTTCTGTCCTCCCTCAAAAAGTGTCCTCCTACATGTCCTCCTTTTCGATATTTGAAGACTAATCTGCAGGGCTTTTTTTTTCCGGCACCTTTTTTTGATAGTTTTTTTTTCAACCTTTGCATGAGCTGTGCTACTCCCCCTATTGGCTTTCAAAAGCCAATAAGAATTGCTGCTGAGCGTGCCAAACACCCAACCGGCAAACTTTGCACATGCAAGTTGTCTGCAGCGAAGACAAATTGGCAGGAACTTAGCACACGTGCCTGCTACCCAACTACACCATCTCCTAGTTAGTTCCGAAGATACCGTGCTCTGGGAACTGCGGGGCCCTCTCTACACGGGGCTGCGCAGGGTGGGCGGTGGTGCTGGCGGGGCGGCCGCAGGCGGAATGTGTCGACGGTGGGCTGCCCTCCCCAGGGCCGGAGCTGGCGCAGCTGATGCTTTGGGAGCCGCAGGGCCCGCTCTACATGGCAGGGCAGCGGTGCTGGCGGGGCGGCTGTGGGCGGGGGCGCGGCAGGTGGTTGACCTTTCATTGGGCCGAGCCAGTTTTTACGATATTTTTTTCTTCAATTTATTTGTGTGCTCCTTTTCATTGTAAAAAAGTTGGTCACCTTATAAACTGGTGTTTCTCAACCTTGGCAATTTGAAGATGTGTGGACTTCAACTCCCAGAATTCCCCAGCCAGCTATGGAGTTGAAGTCGACATGTCTTAAACGTATGAAAAGTAATAGACTAGAGAAGGCAACTCTTGATGTGCCTCTGTTCTCTTCTTTCTCATCTTCCCCATAGTGACATTTCATGCCCAAAATATGTCCTGTGCTCAACCCAGTTTTACTTCATTGGTGAATCTGTGCAAAGATGGAAAATCCAACCAGGATCCCTCACATAACCTGTTTTTTTCTTGTTTTTTTGCATCAGCCAGATTGCCATACTACACATGCATTAAAAATGGCTGCCATCTTTTAAGCCTTCGACTTAATGCTGAGTTTACTTAAGTCTCGTATTAATTGGAAGTTGCTTAAGCCTTGTGAAACATTCTTCGAAGTTTACTTTATATGTGTCTTCTGGTAGGAAAGCAAAGGAAATCCACCACATATTTGTCTTGAAACAGATTTCTGTTAAAGGAATTGGTAGCCAGAAATGGGTGCCCAAAATGCTTATGAAAAAAATGTGTCTAGAAAGAAACATAACTTTCTGAATTTCTGTCTATGTAAATGATAACCAGATTGCATTTTTAAATTGTATGTTTTGGGATAATTGGTTGTAATTGAATGGAAAAAAGAAAAATGAAAAAAGTAGATATCTTTAATGGTTGAGTAATTTCTCCTTTATTTAGAATCGGCTTCAAATACAGCTGTGTGTTTTATCTTTTATCTCTGTGTTCTTCTCTTTCTCTTTACACTTTGAAATAAAAGCTGGCATGAATATGACTCCTGTCTCCAGATTAAAGAAAACTTGGTCAAAAGTCAAGACTGCCAAGTTTGACATTCTGGAGGTGAGCCTGACCTTTTAGTCTGGATCTTCATTATCTGGTTATCTGTGGAGATGCTCAGTCATCCAGGTCATGGTTGTCCCAAAGGTGCTTTTTCAAAAGGCAACTGGACTTTGTTTTTCCTTGAACACGTTTCGCTTCTCATCCGAGAAGCTTCTTCGGTTATCCAGGTGCACAGAGTTGATGAGTTGTCTCTGATGTTAGTTCTGTTAATGGGGAAAACCGAATTAATGTCCTAACTGCATTTTCTTATACACTCTTAAGTGGAACACTGTACAAGATGCTATGGCTAGATGTATTGAGACTGCAGCACCCAGAATTCCCAACCTGCATGATCTTAGGTTGCGAATCCTTAAATTTGTAATCCCAACAGTTAAGGAAGATCCCATAGTGGATTTTGATCTTTGAAAACGGTTCCTTGCGTTTACCAATGAACCTGTTTGGTGCTACTTTCAAATCATTTTGATCATCGGCGCTTTCAGCTAGAAATGAAATTTCATAATTATTTGCTTCATCTGGGTTTCCCCCCCCCCCAGATTTGGTTAGCTTTTTGATCCATAACCTGTCCTGACTCTTAACTTTAAAACTGTTCTGTGCCTGCTTTATATTGGAAATGGTCTCCCCAGATTGAAAACTGGACTTTTAAAGCAATATTTTGATGGAATTTTTAGGGCATTTTCTGCTTCTGGCGCAAAACTAATTCTCTACATTTCCACTTTCCCTTCTTCTTCCAGCATCAAATGGACCCTTCCAGCAATTTCTACAATTACCGCACTGCCCTGCGTGGGGCCACCCAGAGGTCTTTAACAGCTCACAGCAGCAGAGAGAAGGTACGGTCTAAGAAAGAGAGAAGCAAGGTCATCTTTGACTTGTGGACTTCAACTCCCAGAATTCCTGAGCCAGCATAAAAGGGCTGTGGTTCTCCACCCTTGGCTTATTGGGATACTTGAACTCTTAAATTCTGCAGAAGTGTTTGACTAGAGGTGATAGTCAAGCAAAGGGTCTTTTGCTTACCTTCAGCAATCTTTTTGTTGTTTAGCATTAGGGAGCTACCTCTGCCCCAAACCTGATGCAGTTTATTCATTATTTGTCCCAAATGTGACAAAGAATCCCCGCCCCCCGTTCCAGTGACAGGTCTGTTGCTAATCTGGGTTCTTCTCTCCCCCCCCTTCTTCTTTATAGATTGTGATCCCATTTTTCAGCCTGCTTATCAAGGACATTTACTTCCTCAACGAGGGCTGTGCCAATTGCTTGCCCAATGGCCACGTCAATTTTGAAGTAAGTAGAGCCTGCTCAGGGTTTCCCAATGCCTCTTAAATGCTGACCTCGTTGAGGAGCAGAAAGCCTAGTTAAGATTTTGGAATGCAGGTACAGAAACTTCGTAAGGGTTACATCAGGGGGCAAACACCAAACCCTTGGCTCTGACATGTTGTCCAACAATTGTTCATTTTTTTTGAAGAACCCCATCTCCCCTGAGCATGTCCAAGATGCCTTGTTTTCATTGGCAAAGCACTGGTCTTTTCTTCCCCAACACACAGAATTAAGGAATAGTCCCTCCTCAGAGGCATGAAGGAGCAGAACTTGAGCAGAATTCCAAAGGCAACAGTTACAAGGGGTCCTTAGTGCTCTCCGAGCTTGGTTGTTTTCTTGCAGACGTTTCTTTACCCAAAGTAGGTAACATCATCAGTCCTGGAAGAGAGAGGCATTTGCTCTCAGTTTATAATCTAGTGAATTGCCCTGTCAGAATTGGTGGGAAATGTCTCGGAGGTTCGTTGCTTGGGCTGCTTATGGTTAGCTACGTAGTGGTAGCCAAAAAAACAGCAAATAGCCAAACGAAAGAACCTTTTTAAGACCACCCCCACAACACTGGTAGGGCAATTCACTCCCAACAGGAGTCACCAACCTTTCTGGGTTGGTGGCCTGGTGGGAAAGGAAGGGGCAGACACCTTTACGCACGCATGCGCACACCCCCAAATGTAGCTGTGCGAACGTATGTGTGAATGGGGCCGCGAGCATATGCGCTCTGTAAATGGGGCTGCTAGCACTCCGTAAATGGCACCGAGGCTAGCGCCAGTGCAAGAATCACACCAAGGGTCGCACCGAAGCTAGCGCAGGCGCGAGGATTGTACTGAGGCTAGTGCCAGCATGAGAGTCACACCAAGGGTTGTGCCGAGGCTGATACCAGTACAAGAATCATGGGTTGCACTGAAGCTAGCGTAGGCGCAAGTGTCACGCCACTGGTGCGAGGGTTGCGCTGAGGCTAGCACAGATGTGAGGGTTGTGCCGAGGCTAGTGCCGGTGCGAGAGTCACACCAAGGATCACGCCAAGGCTAGCGCCAGCACGAAGCACAATGACCACATGCACACATACTGGCCAGTTACTTACGTGGCCCGGTGGGGATCTCTGCACTAGAATATAAACTGAGAGCAAATCCCACTCCCTTCTAGCACTGATGATGTTACTAGTGTGGGTAATGAAACGTCTGCAAGAAAACAAGCAAGCCTAGAGAGCATCAAGGACCTCTCATTTCAATCCTGAGCTACAAATAATGTCCTTTTTTGCAACACACATCTGATCTGTCCTTCTGAAACAGAAGAGCAAACCCCATTGCCTTATTTGAATGGAACCCTTTTACCTGCTTCACTCCTGTGCTTTTTTTTTTTTAATTTTGCTAATTCCTTGCAGAAATTTTGGGAACTGGCTAAACAAGTGAGTGAGTTTATGACATGGAAGCAAGTGGAATGTCCTTTTGAGAGGGATCGGAAAATCCTTCAGTACCTGCTCACCATTCCAGCTTTCAGTGAGGATGGTAAGAGGAGAACACCCGTAACCGTTCGGTATATTGTGTATCACACTTATTTTGACAGACACGGTGGTAAATAATTGCCCACTTTTATTTTCCCTCCAATTTCCAACGCCACAGGCTATGGCATAGATGGAAACAGTGGATGGAAACTAACTGAGCACAGAAGCAACTTAGAACTAAGGAGGAATTTCCTGACAGTGAGAACAATTAATCAGTGGAACGACTTGCCTCCAGAAGTTGTGGCTGTTCCAACACTGGAGGTTTTAAAGAAGAGACTGGACAACCATTTGTCTGAAATGGTATAGGGCAGGGGTAGGCAACCTTAGCTCATTTATGACTCGTGGACTTCAACTCCCAGAATTCCTGAGCCAGCCATGCTGAGGGGGAAGGGAGAGGTTTCCAAGCTGAGCCATACTTGCTCAGGAATTCTGGGAGTTGAAGTCCATGAGTCATAAAAGAGCCAAGGTTGCCTACCCCTGGATAGGGTCTTCTGCTTGAGCATGGGGCTGGACTTGAAGACCTCCAACTCTGTTATTAGATTAGTCTTGCTTGTCTGAACTGATTGGACAATCAGGCCACAGAGTGCTTGTGGTTTACGACCACAGTACCACATCCTCGCATTGCAAAAACACCAATTTAACCAATTTCCTTGGTTGAAATTCCCCCTTGTCGTCTTGCAGATCTTAGCATTGCTTCTGAAGTTATTTTGGTGTATCTCCCAGTCTTTTGGAACAGTTTTTCAGAGCATTGAAGGGAGAAGGAGAAAGCAGCTAACATGGCTACCCTTCCTTCCATAATACCATAATAAGGATGTTCATAGGAGCCTTGAATCTCATTTGTGAACTATTACGTGTGCTCCAGTTCACACAAGCTTTTTTTTTTAACCCCGTTAGATATGAGACAATTATTCCACCCCCCCACCCCCACCCCGCAGATCTGAGGACCACAAATTTGAAACGATGGCCTTGCTATCCCACAGGGAACATAATTCAAGACACTAGAACAGGGGTCTTCAAACTTGGCCCTTTTATGACTTGTGGATTTCAATTCCCGGAATTCCTCAGCCAGGCGTGCCTGGCTGAGGAATTCTGGGAGTTGAAGTCCACAAGTCATAAAAAGGGCCAAGTTTGAAGACCCCTGCACTAGAAGATATCTGTAATGCTCATATTTTCTTCCTTCTGGTTGCAGCACTTTATTTGGCGTCGTATGAAAGTGAAGGCCCAGAGAATCACATTGAAAAAGACAGGTGGAAGACACTCAGGTTAGTGCTAAAAATTTCCGGTGTCCATAAACAGGCTGAATTTTTCTTCTTGCGTTGGAACTCCTCGCTACCATTTTCCCCCCTGTTGGGATAATAATAGCAATAGCACTTAGACTTATATACCACTTCATAGTGCTTTACAGCCCTCCCTAAGGGGTTTACAAATGTCAGCATCTTATCCGCAACAATCTGGGTTCTTGTTTTTATCACCCTGAGAAGGATGGACGGCTGAGTCAACCTTGAGGCGTTCACGATTGAACTGCTGGCAGCTGGCAGAGTTAGCCTGCAATATGGCATTCTAGCCCCTGCGCCGCCACAGCTTTTTATGGGCATCACAGCTCTTTATCCTGTTGATAGGATAGGAGTGATGGATGTCATTTTGCTTTATACAGGTAGTCCTCGACTTACAATCATTCCTTTAGGGACCATTTGCACTTACAACAGCCCTGAAAAAAGTGATTTATGACCACTTTTCACACTTGCGATCATTGTAGCACAGTGATGGCGAACCTTTTAGAGACCGAGTGCCCAAACTGCAACCCAAAAACCACTTATACATTGTCGAGTGCCGGGTGGATGTGGCCCATTGGGTGGGTGTGGCTAATTGGGCAGGCGTGGCCCATTGGGTGGGCGTGGCTACAGTGGTAATGGCAGACTGGGTGGGATTAAAAAGTTCAATCAATCAATTCCAACTTTGCAAGATCTTTTTTTTTCCGTGAAAAGTTGAAATTGACTGATTGAACTTTTTTTTTTTTTTTTTTTTGCACACGGCGGCGGAGGCCTAAAGCGAAAAGGTTTTATAAAACCCAGCTGAAGGCCTAGGACTGGGGGCGACGGCGCGCGTGCCCACAGAGAGGGCTCTGAGTGCCGCCTCTGGCACCCGTGCCATAGGTTCTCCACCACTGTTGTAGCATCCCCATGATCACATGCTCAAAATTTGGACACTGGTATGTATTTATGACGGTTGCAATGTCGTGTGGTCATGTGATCCCCTTTTGCAACTTTCTGACAAGCAGAGTCAAGGAGGAAGCTAGATTAACAACTGTGCTACTAATTTAAAAGCTGCAGTGATTCACTTAACAACTGTAACAAGAAAGGTCATAAAAAAGGGCAAGGCTCATTTAACAAATGTCTCATTTTGCAACAGAAATTTTGGGGGTCAACTGTGGTCATAAGTCGAGGACTTAGCTGTACACCTTTCTCTTAAAATAGGCAGGCTGGTTCTGATGGCAGTTCAGATGGACACGTGACCTACCGTTCCAAAGCAATTGGCAAACTCACCCGAGTGTCTTCTTGGTGTCCTAATAGAAGATCTCCCTTCTCTGTGTGATTTCTCTACAGGTCCACGCTTCTGGGAAGAGGTTAATGCGTGGCTGGGTCCTTGCTGCAATTGCTGCTATGATCTTGACATGGGTTCTTAATGATGAAGGCCATGGCTGAGGTCGCTTATTTATTTACCCATCCCTCCTCTCCTCCTCTTGACGGCCAAGAGGCCTTTTAAGTTATGAGAGCTAAATAGTTGGTGAAGAGCAAGTCGGGACATGATGCTGAGAAGAAAGCCAAGCTGACTTGAGTGCAGGAAAGGCAGCTTTCCCCTACCCACTGGAATGTCAAGTTGGGTGGCGTGGGCTTGATCAAAGACAACCCAGTGAAGAAAGCCTTTTGAAGATCTGAGTCTACTGTGAATCATTTTGAAGCACCTGGATGGGATTCCCCCTTCCTCATCCCATTCCACCTGCAAACTCTTGTTAAGACTTCTGCTACTTCACCCCTGGATTCCAAATAGAACTTCCCTTCAATCTATCCAAGGCCAACTGGACTGTTTTCAGATGCCACATGATCTAAAGAAGATCTTAGCTGGTGATTCTCCTCAAAGAAATCTAGGAACATTTGCATTTTTCCCTTGAGGGGATAAAGGCTCACGGTGCAGTGTTATTGAGGAGTTCCTAAGATGCTCAGCTATTTATTATGAAAAGGGGCATGAGTGCTCTGGATTTTTTTTGTTTGTTTGTTTGTTTGTTAGTTTGTGAGTTAGCTGCTGGTTGGCCAACTCGAACTGGATGTTATTTGGATATTTAAAAGTTAAGTTCAGCATAGCGCTAAGAGAAGCAGAGGCTAGAAAGCTAGGTAGCAAATGTAGCTAGACTATGTAGAAAAGTCACTCTTCCAATCCCTCCTCTTAAATGTACTGTTGTGCTGTTTTTCATCTGGGCACATCTGCGCTACAAAGCCATCTGAATTGGGCATGAAGCCAGTTTCATTTTGTGACTTTTGCCTGCGAATTTTGGGACAGAAATCCTAACTTAGCCCAATTTTGAAAGAGGGACCCATTGGAATAAGTGGGACTCCAGCTTTCGAGGTTGTTCATCGGTAGGACAACTAAGTGGCCTATAGAATATTTATTTCCGAAACTGGAGAGCGAGAATAATCAAGAGAGGTTTGGAACTGGCTTACATTTTGTGAGGTGGACTTACCCAAAATGTCTGTACTTTTCTGCGTCTTTTTCTCCACTATATTATTGAATTAATTGATTTTGTTTTATCCAAGAGAGGGGGAAAAAACCTGCTGAGATTCTAGGTAGATATAAATTATGATTTTACAGGTTTTTTTTTAAAAATGTGCAGAGATAATATCCGATCTAGCAATGCTAATTTAAACTCTGAAATCCTACAGACCACTGAAAGTTTCCCCTAGCTGAGTCTCTAGCTATAAGCTAAAGATTTGTTGTTGTTTTTTTACTTGCTTCAAGAATCTCTGAAAGTTGCTTTGACTACAAAACCTGTGATGTCAGTAGTAGCTCTGAATGCATAGTCCCCATAATGCCTTCCCCAAGAAATTCTGAAAAATTAAAAGAACCCCCAGGCTGTTAACAAGTGATATCCAGCAAAAGGATTTGTATGAAATATGCTATTCCTCAAAATTAATAATAAATAAAAATACACCGTTTGATTGTTCTTCATTTCTTACAACTGTGGTTTTGTTGGTGAATTTGCACATATGTTCCGGTAACGCATACAGTTTAGTGACCTTTCGAAGTTACACCGGCTCTGAAAAAAGTGACGTATAACCGTTTTACGACCATCACAGTATCCCCATGATCACGTGGTCAAAATTCAGATGCTTGGCAACTGATTCTTTTTGACATTTAGCAGTGTCCCAGGGTCATGTGATCACCTTTTGTGACTTTCTGACAAGCAAAGTCAATGTGGAGGCCAGATTCACTTAACAACATGTTACTAACTTAACTGCAGTGATTTACTTAACCACTATGGCAAAAAAGGTCAGAAAATAGGGCAAAACTCACTTAACAAAGGTCTCACTTAGCAACAGAAATTTTGGACTCAATTGTGGTCATAAGTCAAGGACTACCTGTAATAATCAAGGGCACAAGCAATCCAGATTTTACTCCTGAATTGCATGCTGGCACAGCCTTGAGTGGAGAGAGTAACACTACCAACATAACCACAATTTTTAATTCTCTAATCTCTCTTCTCTTAACCCCCAGTGCACAACTCTTTCAGAACTGATTCACCTTTCCAGCATTATTTTATAAAGTAGATGTGAATTTTAAAGGCTGCATGTTTTAATTATCTCGGCTATTAAAACTCTCCATTAACTGAATAGCATTCATCTGTGTCCTTTATTGGGCACATTAATTACTTTTTAACATTCCCGGTTTTAAAAATGTGCTGAAAGCAATGAATTTTTGTCTTTGTGCAGGTGACACCTGCTACTAGGTATTAATGCACCTACCTTACTAAAAAAAAAACCTCTTTTTCAAATGGATTGATATTGTCAGATGCAAATTTGAGAACTGTGGTTGATTGCTTTTTGCAAATGAGGTTCCCCTGTTAACTTGCATAATGCATCACTTTTAAACTCTTCCAGTGATAGGAATTCTGATGGATTATGTGCCAACACATTTTTTTATTATAATAGTAATTTTTAAAAAAATTACACTTACAATGATAAAAACTAATACCAAAAGAGGAAAAGAATAAAAGAAAAACTGATGCATAAAAATGAAAAGAAAAATCAGGAATGTAGCAAAGAAAAATAAAAAAATATATAAAGAAATGGCTTCCTGCTTCTTCACAACAATTTTAGTAATTTATCACCTTTAAAACGCAAGAAATGATCCTTTCTTCCAATATCTCTATATCTATAAACAAATTCTTAAAATCTCATCATGTTGAGGCTGATCAGCAAAGGTCCGTTAAGGGTTACCATATGGTTTTTAACCTTGATCAAATAAGCAAATTTTACACATCTTCGTTTTACTTTTAAAAATCTCAAGTTTTTAGTCCCTTCAAATAATCTCCTTAAACTTGGGTTTTTTTTTCATTTTTTCTTTGTTGCGTCTCACAAAGTTCTTCAAAGCTTACCAAGCCTCGACTTGCAAGCACAATCGAGATCACAATTTGTGTTAAATGAGGCCGTTAAGTATGTTGTGCCCAATTTTACAACCATTTTTGTCATGGTTGTTAAATGAATCACTGCAGTTGTTAAATAAATCACAGTTGTTAAGCAAATCTGGTTTCCCCCATTGACTGGTGATCACATGACCCCAAAATGCTGCAGCCATTTTAAGTACATGCTGGTTGCTAAGTGCCCACATTTTGATCATGTGACCATGGGGGTGCTGTAGCAGTTATAAGTGTGAGGACCAGTTGTATGTCACTCTTTTCAACACCATTGTAACTATGAACGGTCACAGAACGAATGGTTGTAAGTCAAGGACTGCAACAACTTTTCCCCTGTCGTTCTTATGGCCTTTTTTTAAAAAAAATCTACTTTTTAAACCAGTTTCACTCTTGTCAGGTAAAACTTGTTCCTTTTCCGTAACATGTTTTAAACCAGGGGTCTTCAAACTTGGCCCTTTTATGACTTGTGGACTTCAACTCCCAGAATTCCTCAGTCAGCATGCCTGGCTGAGGAATTCTGGGAGTTGAAGTCCACAAGTCATAAAAGGAGGGCCATGTTTGAAGACCCCTGTTTTAAACAGTCTCTGCAAAGATGCAGACAATCTTAAAATTAACTTTTGAGTCCGTTGTTTGAAAACATCCTTCAGTATGTCCAAAGTTAAAATTCCTTGCTCCATTCTCCATTAGTAAGTCAAATTTAAGTTCTTCTCCTTTAACTGTAATCTTTAGTTCCTTCTAGTTCGCTCTAGTAGTCAACCTTCAAATTCCTATCCTATCATGTTTTTTTTTTAACTGGAATTCAAAACAAGCATTTTCCCACCGAGAAAAATCCTTATTATTAATTCCAAAATCTTATTTCAAACCCATCTGGACCTTTAGTCCATTTGTCACATTCCAAAATAAAAGTTTCTAATCATTCCTTTGGTCTTTCTTACAGATTTTTTTTTTTAAAAAAACAATTCTTGAACTTGTATTTAAAACCTCTTTCCCTTTCACTAAGGATTGAAGGAAACTCACCCCATGTTTTCAGACATGTTGATTCAAAGCCGCCTGATAACAAAAAAGAAGTTAACAAGCAGTTTCTGAAAGAGATTAAAAAAGAAAGTAGGAGTAATGCTGAACTTACAACAGCTCAATTCATGACAATTCAAAGGTACAACGATACTGAAAAAAGTGACTTATGATCATTTTTCACACTTAATGACCATTGCAGCATCTCCATGGTTACGTGATCAGAATTCAGACACTTGGCAACTGGCTCGTATTTATGACAGTTGTATCACATTATCCGTTTTTGTGACCTGACAAGCAAAGTCAATGGGGAAGCTAGATTCACTTTATAGCCATGTTACTAACTTAAGAACTGCACTGGTTCATTCAACAACTGTGGCAAGAAAGGTCATAAAACGGGGCAAAACTCAACAACTATCTCACTTAGCAACAGAAATGTTGGGCTCAATTGTGGTCGTAAGTCGAGGACTACCTGTATTTCTCATTGAAGGTACTGACTGTGGTTTGAGTAAGATCCCTCGTTTCCCAGAGTTCTCAACCCACTGTCTTGTGGTCTCATTGTGAGAAGAACGGTTGTAGGAACTGGGTACGTCTAGTTTAATGAAAAGAAGGACTAGGGGGGACATGATAGCAGTCTTCCAATATTTGAGGGGCTGCTACAAAAAAAGGGGGCTCAGCCTATTCTCCAAAGCACCTGAAGGCAGAACAAGAAAGCAACGGATGGAAACTAATCAAGGAGAGAAACAACCTAGAATTAAGGAGGAATTTCCTGACAGAACAATCAATCAGTGGAATGACTTGCCTCCAGAAGTTGTAGGTGCTCCAACACTGGAAGTTTTCAAGAAGAGGTTGGACATCGATTTGTCTGAAATGGTATAGGGTTTTCTCCTTGATTAGAGGGTTGGACTAGAAGACCACCAAGGTCCCTTCCGATCTGTTATTCTGGTATTCTCTTTACAATCAATGGACGCAACTGCAGACTACATAAAAGGACACTGGGAGGAAAATTGGAATAATGTTGGAATAATGAAGTCCTGTGAGAGGCCATTTGATGTGCTGCACTTCTTATTGCTGTAAGAGACAAACTTTCTCTTTGTGTGTGTGTGTGTGTGTGTGTGTGTGTGTGTGTGTGTGTTCAGTAACAAAACTACTGTAGTGCAGTTTGGTGGCCTTCAGATGTGTTTGATAGCAACCTCACAAGGCTAGCACTTTTGGAAATTGACCTACCAGTTTGAAGGCTATCAAATTATGAAAAGTTACCAAACTAGCTTTAAAAAGTGTTTGTGTGGGGGGGGGGGGTTTGAACCATCTTCAATGGAAGAAACATTGAGGAAGAAATAGGGTTTCAAAAGAAATGTGTACATTTCTCCAAGTAGGATAAACAAGCAAGCAGTTGGCCAGGTAACACATTCTGAGGCAAAAAAAAATGTGGGTGCTAGAACCGGGACATAGTACCCAACCCATTTCTGGTTTTCTTGGAATAATTTAGAGAAATTGTAGAATCTCTCTATATATAATTTGTTTTTAATTTTGTCATTTGCTGATCCAATTGAGCTTCTCCAGCTATCTTCCTATACATCGTACCACAAATGATGTTGACTATGTATCTCTGTCATTTGCACAATGACCTCATGTTCCATGGGACATACATTGTCACTTCTCCAGATGTTCTTGTAGCATGTTCAGTTTTACCTTCTGTTCAAATTACCTCTATTACAAGCCCTTTACAATCAGCATTCTGCACCGGGTCTGGATATGAGCTAGGGATCAATGACGTTTTTAGGAATGGTAAGATACAAAAAATCACACTCTTAAGTTCTCAATCCATCAGCCATCTCTCCTGTGCAAACTAGATTGTTTTCTTGTCTTTAGATGAATCGGATCTGTGGCTTTAGTACATGCATTCCTTCTATGGATCTATATACTAGCAAAACTCTCATCGTAACTATTAACGGGGCAAAAGGGTGCATCATGGGCAATGGTGGGATTCAAATAGGTGAAGAACCGGTTCTCTGTGTGGATGCCGCTTCTGGAAGTCCATTCTGGGCCTGGGCAACAAAAAATTAGCTACCGGTTCTGCCAAACTGATGAGAACCGGCTGAATCCCACCACTGAAGCAATTGTATCCTGTAGTTATAGCAACAGCAATAGCATTTAGACTTATATATCACCCCTATAGCACTTTACAGCATTTTGGGTGGTTTATAGAGTCAGCATATTGCCCTCAACAATCTGGATCCTTGTTTTACCCATCTTGGAAGGATGGAAGGCTGAACCAACCTCAAACCCCGTCAGGATAAACTCCTGGCAGAGAGCAGAGTTAGCCTGCAATACTGCATTCTAACCAGTGCGCCACCAGGACTCTTAAAGCTATGCCGATGAAATAGTTGAAAAGAAGTTAAGCAAAGTAAATCATGGCTCCTAAGAGTTGAAATCGGAGCTTTGTTATCTCAAGGCTACAGATATTGGGCAAAAACAATCTCCGCATTCTTTCCTCCCAGTTCCAGTTCAAAGGAGAA